CCGCGGCCAAGACAGAACCTTTTCAGGGGAAAAAAAAAAGAAAAAAAAAAAGGAACCTTTGTTTTTTTCATTTTAAAAATTTTAATGTATTATATTCTTCTCTCAATATATCTATGTATATTTATTCTGCGTCTATCGCATCTATCTCATCCTCGATTTGACAGGTAATTGAATTGGTTGGGCTTTCAAAAAAAAAAAAAAAAAAAGGAACCTTTTTTTTTTTTCATTTTTAAAAATTTAATCTATTATATTCTTCTCTCAATATATCTATGTATATTTATTCTGCATCTATGGCATCTATCTCATCCTCTCGCTACTCTATGTATAGTGGGGGGGACCACTACCAACCAAACCTGAAACTCTCCCCAGCCCAGGGGGTAGGATTGCACCACAGCTGTGGTGCGAGAGCAAGGCTTTTATCAGCCGCTCATCACGATGATGCAGGGTGATCAGGGCGCTCAGCAGATGCTTCATCCTACGATCGATAATGTTCTCGATAAACTAAGGCATTGCGGACGGGGGAAACCTGGGGCCAAGTCCCAAACACAGGGCCAAGTCCCAAACACAGGGTCAAGTCCCACTAGCAGTGTTCAGTTTCCTCAACAACTGAATTTGGGCGTGTTTGAGGATATGTGCAGAAATGGGGTTGAGTTTGGTCAACCGCACATATCCCCACAAACACGTCCAGATTCAGGCATTGAGGAAACTCCACGCTTGGCCCCCTGAACGGCCCCGAATGGGGAAGACCTTCGAGGTATCATAATTGAACTGACGGGTCCGAGGATAATTCAGAATGATTATATTTGGAAAAAAAAAGAAAAAAGATTATATTGTGGTCATGTGGCTGCATGTGAACTCGAACTTAGGGTAGGACCCCACTGGATGGCCCCAAGCCTTTGGAAGATATTTTTGGGACTCCACTGCTGGTGGCAAACCCAAGCATTTTTGTTTCCACTCTGCCCACCTCCGCTTTTTCAGCACGCCAACCACCAACCAATCCCTGTGCTTCCTTTCGGCACGGGATGGGTAAATCTAGAGGGTGTGTTTGCCTACCTCTGGAGATAGGCTAAAGCACCCTCTAGATTCACTGGAAAGGAAGCACGGGGATTGGTTCGTGTGCTGAAAAAGCCAAGGCAAACTTGCCCAAAAACAAGTCTTCCTGATCGGGTAACATAAACCTCAGGAAGTGCCTGAAATTGCTGTGGTGGTGGAGTCCGTTTTTGCTTGCCCGTCCCCGTCGGCTACGATTCTGGGCTGGTGGATGTTTTCGTGGTGCCAAGCACTGCCAAGCAGTGGGGTCCTACCGTTAGGGTCTGTATTCCAATGGTTCCTGCCATTGGGTGCACCAACTGAGCCGAGTAACGGCATAGCTCACTACCTCTCTTTGGTGAAGAGAGGTTACCTCTCTCGGTGGAGAGGAGTAACGGCAGGTTTACCCCTTTGGCCTAGCATTTAGGGTGCAGGGTTGGGGCCGCCGGTGGGGGCCCGGCTAACACAAGGACCGAGCATTTGCCAGTAAGTTCAGTAACTGTGCCTCCCTTTTCATCTTCCCCCACCCCCACCGAGTAACAGTAGTGTCTAAAGCTAACACTCTCCCACACACCACAAGGAACGCACTCACACACGCACTCACACCCGTGTTGGCTGAAGACCTTACTAGTACCGACTGGGAGGATCCAGCTGGGAGAACTGTTTTGGGTCCCCCTTTTTTTTTCTTTTTTTTTTTTTCTTTTTTTTTTTTGGGTCCCCCTAATAGGGACGTGAATTTTTATATTTTCATATATATATATCGTCACAAACAGAACTGCCCGGTAAACCGTAGGCAGAGAGAGAGAA